CTCTCTCTCTCTCTCTCTCTCTCTCTCTCTCTCTCTCTCTCCCTGTGCATGGCCCCCACAGCTCCCGCATGCCCCTCCCCCCAGGATCCTGAGTGCAGAGAGCCTGGGGGGTTCCCACCTGTGCGGAGAGAGGAAGAAGACCAGGGTCTAATTGCTGTGGGGATCGCTACATGCATGTGTGGTCCTGAGGAAGTAGAACAGGAAGTTTTGAAGCCTCTGGCTGGTTCTGTTGAGTTCAGCTGGGCAGCAGGACTTGGGACTGTTAGCCCTCTCATTTGCTGAGACCTGACCTGAGTGAGAGGTACTGGCAGAGTTACAAACAGCCAATCAACACGGCTATCCTGTACCTAAGTGGCTGTGACAACTTTCTGTCACAATGCCAATGTGGGAGACAAACTGGAAGTTCAGAAAGCTCCTGAGTCAGAGAATGGCACTCAGAAGGAGAGTGTCTGGAACCCACACAACCCCACCTGTGGCACACCCTGGGCTCAGCAGAGCCAGTTTCTGCAGCAACTGGGCCTGCCCAGACCTCCTTCAACAGCACCACACCAGGAAGCCAGAGCTGGGCTCCAAGTAAGGAGATAGTGGTGGAAGCTTCCGGGCAAGCCCAAAGCTGTCCCCAGTGAGGGCAGAGGGGTCCTGGGTACAGCAGCCACTGTGGAGTTGAGGCTGAGGGAAGCTGGAACACAGATGGGCAGAAATTGCTTCTGTGATTCAGGAACTTGCTGGGCACCTGTGACTTCCATGGCCCAGCTGAGCCCTTTTGAGCCATTCAGAAGTGCACTGCGGACCACTTTCAATGGAACAAGGTCCTGAGTCTAGAGCTCAGACTCAGCTTCTTGGCTGGGCCTTTGCAGCTGGGGAGACACAGGGCTCCACTGGAAAAGCCAAGCTCCCCTTAAAGGCTGCCACACAGGCTAAAGCTTGCGAGTCACTGAGGGTAGCTGCTTCCACACACCCCGCCCGCCGCCCACCGCTCAACCCTCGCTAGCCCAGAGTCCAGTAAGACAGGCTCCATCCATCTCCCTGTCTTCTGAGGGCTACCCTTTGGAGTCCAACACCCCCTTTATTCAACAGGAATATATGGGTGCCCACCTACAAAGCAGACCAGGTGAGCCTTTGCCCTAGGGAGGGAGCTCCGCTAGGGGAATTGGCCATTCCTCACTGGCCCCACTTCAGGGGAGATTGTCCTCCAGCCTCACATAGAACACCTGACCCACATCAGCAAAGGCAGAGCACGTCTCCCTCACCAACAACCTAAGACCATCTTCCCGCCTCCTCCTTCCCCCTCAGTGGCCCTCTGGGGTGCTTGAGGGTCTTAAGTGTATGCCACTGGTGTCCTCGGTAGGTCCGTGTTATTTACTCCTAAGCCCCAGCTTGCCTTGGCCTCAGCCCATGCCTCACCCAAGCCCCCTCCTCACTCCCCATTCCTACCTCCTCCATGGCTCTGGCACAGGTAGGGGAAGCGCCACACGTTGCCCAGCCCCACACAGAAACCCACACAGGTGAGCATGTATTGGGCCTTGTTGTCCCATTTGGGCCGGGAGCTGGCTTCTTCCTTTTCAATGACCTCCAACTCATCCAGAGATGGGATTCGGTCCTCCAGGCCAGGGTTGGGCAGCACCAGCCTCACCATGGTGGTCTCTGGGTTGAGCCTGGCACACGCAGGCAGCTCAGCAGCCAGAGGGCAAATGGTGGTAGCCAGGAACCCTCGCCCTTTATAGAGAACCTTTGGCACCTCACCCCAAGCACCTGGGCTGAAAGGAGGTGTCAGCAGATCCGCAGGGCGCGTCCTGCAGTGCTGTTAATGCCTTATCTACAGAGGCACCCAGCCTGGCCAGCAGAGCCACCCCCTCCATACACAGACAGGAGGTCCTGCTATAGGTCGGATCGCCCCTCCCCCTGTGCAAACCCAGACATAGACTGGAAGTGGGTGTGGAGGGGAACAGTGCCAGACCAACTCTCCGGGGAAGAGGGAGGGACCCCCAGCATATAGATCAAATAGATGGTATCTGTTGAACCTGCCCTGGCTCTGTGTAGCAGGATGTTAGTCCTTCCCAGACCCTCAGAGCTCCCAGGAGTCTGTTTCACCTGTAAGGAAGCTGTGTGCAGAGGCTTGCACTCTTTGGGAAGGCTGGACCTGGGGTGTCCCCAACACCTGGAACCCTCAGAGTTTCTGTTCTTTCAGGGAGCACTGAGGGTGGGGATGAGGGTACAGCTTGGGTTGGTACCCTGCAGCCATGGTGATGCGGTTCTACCCCCTGTGGAATGGCCAGACTGGGAGATACAGATAATCCAGCATCACAGCAAAGAGACATTTAGCCTCTTCAGGGCTGACTCCTGGCTTTTAGCAGAGGTAAAGAATAGACAGCTTCACTTTTGAGGCCAGGGGTCCAAGGAGAAGATCCCAGGGGTTGTGTCTAACCCAAGACCAGAGGCGGAGGTGGCGTCCATGTCATGCAGGCTTTACAGGGCAGACTGGGGTGGGACGTGCCCTCGGTGCTGGGCTCTACCCCTCTGCCTCTCCAGCACTCGCCATGACTACTCCTCCCCCAGGATCTATGCCATCCTGCACCCCACAGGCTCCCTTCTCTAATGCAGCTCCCACCTACCTTGGTCCAACCTCAAGGGTCAGCTCTCCAGGAGGGCCTTCCTGGACACTACTGGCCCACCCCTCCCCCGCATGGCCTTCCTAGAACTCTCAGGACTTTTCTTCATTGCCCTCTCTTTTCGTGATTATAGGACTTTTAAATTCTGTCTCTGCTTATTTATTTCATCAGTGATCAGCTTGCTCCACTGGATGATGAGGCCCTAACGCCCAGCTTTGTTTAATCCACCTCCCCCCACTAGCTCCTGCTGAGCTTCCTAAATAACAGATGAAAAAGGGCTTCGCATGGGGAGGAGCAAGTTCAGGGCCCTGACCTTCAACCCCACACACCGGGAAATTCAGATAGGGTGGTGGCCAGAGGGGATATGAGGTGTGGATTTGGAACATCTAGCCTAGAGAATGTGGGGGAGACGGTGGAGAAAGATCCAGAGACTGAGACAGGGTTAGAGAAGCAGAGACAGTCACGGGGGTGAGAGAGAGAGAGAGAGAGAGAGAGAGAGAGAGAGAGAGAGAAGGACAGGAAAACAGAGACAGACACAGGGGGCAGAGACAGAAAGACCCATAAAGAGAGACAGAGACAGAGAGACAGAGATAGGGAAACTGACACAGGGGAGGCAGAGACAGAGAGAAACAGGGACAGGGGCAGGGAAACAGAGACAGACACAGGGGAGAGAGAGAGAGAGAGAGAGAGAGAGAGAGAGAGAGAGAGGAAGACACAAAGCCAGAGACAGAAAAAGACCAAGACAAGGATAGAAGATGATAGAGGTTGACGAAGAGACAGAGGAAGACACAGAGGGACGACAGGAACAAGGAAATGGAGAGACACAGAAAGGGGCAGAGACAGAACTAGAGGTAGAGACAGAGGCCGAGAGAGACACAGAGAAACAAGCAGATAAAGACACGAAGTGACAGGGGCTGGAGAGATGGCTCACTGGCTAAGAACACTGACTATTCTTGCAGAGGACCTGGGTTCGATTCCCAGCATCCATATGGTAGCTAACAACCATAACTCCAATTTCAGGGGGTCTGATGCCCTCTTCTGACCTCCACAGGCATTGCACAACTCGGGTCACTTATATACATACAGGCAATACACTCATATACGTAAAATAAAATAATACTTTTTAAAGTAAAAGACACAATTGACAGAGATACAGAGAGAAGCACGGAGTGTCATACAGAGATAAAGAGAGACAAAGGAGAGACAGAGAGACGCAGATAGAGACGTAGCAATTCAGAGACAGACAGGACAGGACACCCAGGCCAGGAGGTGGGACATGGAGACAGGGAGAGCAGGATGGTGTGGAGAGGGGAGGGGATGTGGCCTGAGCACCAGAGAGGAGGCTGAGGTGAAGATCCAGGTCTCCTCTGGACATGCCATATAAGGCCCACAAAGGTGGCATGGGACCTGGGACCCCACAGGTACTCCCCATGTCCACACAAGCCCCTCTATACAGACAAGGCTTCTCCCCACTCCCCACCTCAAACCCTCTAGAAACTTCCAGTGAAGAAGTAAGGTGGGGAGCTAGGATGTGGACCCACGTCACCTGGGGCAACAGCCTGCACTTCAGTGCAAAGGCCTCACATCCTGTGGCTGAATCCTACACACGCTGTCGAACACCAGGCTGTTTCTTGAGAAAATGCCCAGACATGATTCTGGCAGCCCAGGCTGAGTGGATAGGTGGGGCTCCCCACCAGGACTAGGGACCATTTGGGAACTTTCCTGTGAGCTCTGTGGGGTATAACATCACCTCTTATGTTTTCTGAGCCCCTTCCCTATCGTGCATGTGCCTTATCTGTGGCACTCTGAGGGTGAGATGCCAGGATGTCTCTCTGGTCACAGAACCTGGGTGGGCTAAGGGCATGGACAGCAGGCTGAAGTCAGGACCAGGCCTTTCTCAGTCTGGAGCTCTAGCCTTATGTCTGGGCATGAAATGAGGCTCAGACAGATGCTGCCTTCTGTGATGCTACTCTAAGATCTCCTGGTGCCCCTGCCTTCTGTGATGCTACTCTAAGATCTCCTGGTGCCCCTGCCTTCTGTGATGCTACTCTAAGATCTCCTGGTGCCCCTGCCTTCTGCACAGGCCGAAGTCAGCCTTCACAACCTTAGCCTTTCAGATATGGTGCAGCCCATGACAGCACTTGTGTTGCTCAGGTATTATAACAGGATCATTCCAATGTCACTATAGGCAGAGGCCATCAGTGTGCGGGTGGCCACCCATGACCTCTGCGGCCCTGGCCCCCACTTAGCTCTGCAGCCTGTTCCCAGCTCTCTCCCCACTTGAAACTCCACCCATGCCTCTATGTTCCTTTTCCACACCACTCTTTTCTTACCAGGCTATGCAGCTTGCTGAGTTCTGGGCAAATTGCTAGGATTTTCTCTCCCCAAAGTGTAAGATGCACCAGCGGGGACCTTGTTCACTGCTAACCCCATGCCCTGGGCTGCTGCCAGAGCCTGTGGGTCTCCTTTCAGTGGAGGAAGTCATGTGGGTGGAACAATATAGCCAGCCCCAGACAGCCTAGCCAGCCTCTGCCCCTCCCTTCCCAGCACTGTCCACAGGGCCAGCTCAGCAGGACTTCAGGAGACTGGCCACACGGGACCTTCCAGACAGGTAGGTTCCTTCCCAGAACCTGGGAAAGCTCAGGTGGGCAGGTGAGTGGGTGGATTGCCCGGGCAAGCCTTTTGCTTGTACTAGAATCACATTTGAAAATAATCAGAAAGACTAAAACCTGCAAAAAACATTGTCACCCTAATCCTCAAATCCCAACAGCCCTGAAAGGTAGCGATCCCACTTGACGCCTGCAGCTGAGGAGGTGATTGGGTGAAATAGAGTTCCATTTGTACTTCAGGATGGAGTCCTACTGAGGGTTCCAAAGAATGGCTGCCAGCCGGCAGGTCCCCATTCACACAGCCTGCCCAGCAGTGGCCCTGTGCCAGCAGAGCCGCACAGGAGCAGTTTCCCAGTTCATGTTCTCGGTAATACTTTTGCTTATGAATGCGATGCCAACTCCATTGAGAAGAGAGGTGTTTCCAACCCCAGGCAGAAGACACTGAAACGTTCCTGCTGGTTCTATAGCTCCCAGGTGATTGCCAGAAGTACCAGAGATAATCTCCACCTCTCTCCCTCCTAAGTCCCATTGTCTGTATTTGACTTTCACTTAACATTTTATCTTGACAATTTATCATAAAATTCCTTTCATGAATTTTTCAAATTGTTCAATTAACTTTGAATTCTTACATATTTTAAAAATTAAACTTTTATTCTGTTTTTCTTCCAAGTACCATTTCTGGGATGGGATATGGAGAGTTCTCAGTGTACTGGGTATCCCAGAATTCATTACAGAAACCTCCCCTGGAGTGGCCCCTCTCTGCGTTTAGCCTCCCTACTGTCTGTGGCTTGCACTGCCACATGCTGTAGTTTGCTTCCTGAGCATTCCCCACAGGCCACGTACTGAAGATTGGTCCGTGGGGTGGCACTGGCTGGGAACAATGGGACCTGTGGAAGTGGGGCTGGGGGACATCTAGGTCATTGGGAATATGACCTCAGAGAGGATTGTAGGAGCCCGGTCTCTGTTTCTTTACATTCTTCATGTGATATGCTGCCATGGACTAGTCATGAACTGAGACCTCCAAAGCCATGAGTCTAAATAAGCCTTTCTCCCTCATAAGTGGATCATCTCAGGCATTAGTGACAGTGGCTGAAAGCTGGTTGGCTCGAACATTTTTTCTCAGGTGGATGAATCTTCGTGAGTCAAGCAAAGCTATGCAACTACCACTCAGGCCATGACCCAGGACATTCCAAAATTCCAGGGCCCCTGCTTCCTCCCAGCCATGTGACCTCTCCTCCCGAGACTGCAGCTTTGTTTTATAAACTGAGTGTCCCGAAGTCCCCATGCAGTGTGTACCTTCAGTTCTCATCACTGCCCCTTAGCGCTATGATGAAACCAAATGAACCCAGTGCCACTGTTCACACCTGTCCCAACTGCAGTGTCCTGTTGCTGTCGGGCCAAAAGCTACCACTGCCTCT